CTCCTCATCCAGGGAAAAAAAATGCCACATTATATTTGCAAAATTTTGTGTACAGTTTTAGAGACTCCAGAATCTCTTGCTAATCTGGTGTCTTGTAAATTTTAGAACTTCAGATGTGTGGGTAGTAATTGTAACCATGACAATGATGGAAATGCATAGTGACCCAGTGTAAAGTGAAAAGAGCCAAGGACGGGACTCTGGGGATTAAAATGTTTTAAATGGCAGTGGAAGAATACGAGATAGGAAGTAGGGAATTGTGTTTCTAAAAGAAGGCTACATTACTTGCATTTAGCCTACTTGTACTCTTTCGGTACTCTTGTTTTTATCTCGCATCCGTTTATTTATTAAGCTTGAAAAGTTATTTTTTTTTTCCTTCTGACAGTTGATGCCCATTGATGACAGTTGAAGAGAGCCTTTCATTGGACATGTTTCATTAGTCGGCATGTGAGGGATTGTACTGTGCCCTGGGCTGGGCTAAATTCTGACATTCTTACTTAATCTTCATGATAGTCCTTTGAGATAGATACTGTTATTAAACCTACTTTACAAGAGAGGAAATGAAGATTTTGAAGAGTTAAATTTGTCCAAGGTCACATGGCCTTTTAAATTAGCAAAACTATGACACAAACCCATGCCTTCTGGACAGCAAAACTTATATTCTCTACTCTACATGTATATACCACATGATAATCAGAGACTCACACTGTGATATTACTATACCGTATTAGCAGAATGTAATGTGAGTCCAGCAGTTTGGACTAGATTTGGGGATGTATAAATTCTAGTCTCAGCTCTGAGATTTGGGGTAAGTCATTTAATGTCTCTGGGTCTATTTTTTCATTTACTTGAAAATTTTTATACCTAAACATTGCTTACCTAAACATTGCTGTCCTGTGGCTCCATATCTGCCCTGCCATATATAGCATGAGTACTGAGGAAAATACTCCATAGAATCTTGGATTATAAAACAACTCTTGATTTATATATGTGAGAAATGATTTATTATAATGTTAAGGTTATTTCTACAGTATTTGAAGTCTCTTGGTTTATGTTTTTAAAATTCTTTAGTTTCTATTAAGTAATTCGTGATGGGTAGGGATCTTTTTGTACATTTTCCAGCTTTCATGGGATCTTATTTTATAGAGCCTGCAGAGATCATTTGAAGTTGTGCTCAACTATTAGTAATATAGTTACCTCTGGAGTTGATAGTCCACATTAACTTTGGTCTTTCTCTGGAATTGTTTTGAATGTTCTGCTTTATATGTTCATTGTTTAATGTCAAGAGAGGTGTCTTAGTCTGCTTTTTTATAACCCCTGTATGTGCTACCAGCAGACTAAAACCATATTGCACGTATATGAAATACTTGAGACCATCATTATCATATGGACTTGAATCTTTTATTTGTGAAAACTTAGGAACAGCTACATCTTATTTAAAATATCTTATATGAATGGCATCCTACATATCAGGGTATCTGATAAAAATAGATAGTAGTTTGGCCGTAGAGATAAATTCTCTTAAGGCCGTTTCAGAAAACTCTTTTAGTAGATTTGGGATTTGAGTAAGATGTAAGTAATAAAAAAGTTCTTTTATAGAATTCCTTCTAAGCACTACAGAAAAGATTAGAATAATAAGACTCTATTTGAGTCATCTGCTTAAGAATCTTCTATGACTGAAATTTGAGCTCATATATTATTGCTAGGGTAACTGAAAGAACTGTTTTGCCTATCTATATTCTATATTCCTTACTCTTTCACATTCATACCCATTGGACATTGCTTGGAAGGAGTGTGGTATTTTTCATAAACCACTTTATTGAGGCTAGAAGACATAAAAAAGCTGTATGTATTTAACATATGCAACTTGACAAATTTAGAGGTAAGTATTCACCTGTGAAGCCATCACCATCATCTATGCGATAAACGTATTCATCACCTCCAAAAGTTTCTCCTACTCTCTTTGGAGAGGATTCCACTAGCTTAGTAATTTATGTCCAGTCCAGGTCAGAAATATTTGTGAAGCTGATGAATAATTATTGCGATGTTTCCCAGGTTGTGAATGCAGATCATGTGGCAAAATAACAGCTCCTTAGTCATAAGGAATTAGCAGGAAATCATTCCATCAACAAGTATGACTGTCTGTTATATGCCGCGTGTTACTTCAGTAGCTGAGGGATTCTGCAGTGAAAAAAAATCCCTGCCTTCATGGAGCTGACATTTGGATGGGAGGAGAAAGGCCAGGAAATGAAGTAAGGGAGGGGAGAAAAAGCAATCTGAGATTGGAATTTGGGGGTGAATTTGTAGGAGGAGACTGCTATTTTAAATGGAGTAGGCAGTTAAAGCTTCATTTTATGGTGATGACTGAACAGTTTTGAGGTTGATAAGGTGAATGAGCCATGCAGATACCTGAGGGAAGAACATTTGAGAGACAGAATAGCAAATGAACAGACACCTTGAAACAAACCTGTTTGACATACTCCAAAGAATAGCAAGGAGGCTGGTGTGGCTGGACCAGAGTGAGCAAGGAGGAAGAATAGGCAAAGTCAGATTATCAGATCAAATAACGTTTTGTAGTTTATAGAAAGACTTTGACTTTAACTCCAAGAGAAATGAAAAGTCATTTGAGGGTTGAGAGAAGAAGAGTAACATGATTTATGTTTTTAGAAGGTCACTGGTTGCTCTATAATAGTGGGACAAAGGCAGTAATAGACCAGTTAGAGGCTGTTGGAATACTCTGAGAGATGATGGTAGTTTGGACGAGGCTAGTAGTAGTGGTAGAGGTGAATAGGAGTTGGATTCTGGGTACATTTAGGAGGTAGAGACAACAGAATTTCCTGTTGAATTAGAATCAAGGTGAGGGAAAAAGGAAATTACAAGCTTTTTGGCCTTAGCAACTGGAAGGATGGAGTTGACATTTGCTTACTTGGAGGACTGCAGGGGAAGCGGACTTAGGGGCAAAAGATAAAGATTTCTGTTTCGCACTTGGTAAGTTTGAGATGCCTAATAGGTATTCAAGTCAAAATATTGAAAACATGGCTGAATATAGGACTCTGTATCAAGGAGAGAGGACCAGAGTATATAAATTTTGAGGTTAACTTAAGCTATGAGCATAGATGAAATCGCCTTCACCTGAAAACTGAGTTGTGGCTACACAAAAAAGTTCAGGTTTGGAGGTTGCTGTGAGGAGAAAGAACTGGTAAGCAGACTGAAATAGGAACTAGAGGAATAATAATAAAAACAAGAGAATTGTAGTCCTTGGAAGGCAAGTGAGGAATCTGAAGGAGGAGCGATCAGCTCTTCAGTTGCTGCCAGATAGGTCGAGAGTGATAAGAACTAAGACTGACCGTATAGATTTAGCAGGGTGGAAGTCACTGGTGACCTTGAGTCATTTAAATGAAATGGTAGCGATGATAAAAGCTTTATTGGAGTAGATGCAAGAGATAATGCAAAAAATGAGGCTTGGAGACAGTGAATATAGAAATGTCTCAAGGCCTGTGATTTTTGCTGTAAGTGGAAAAAGACAAATTGGATAGTATTGGAGAAATAGTGGGTTTGTGAGGATTTGTTTTTAGGATGGGAAACTGATTATTTTGAATGTGGATGGAAATTGTCTAGCAGAGAGGAAAGAATGTGATGATGCTGAGAAGGGAAATTGATAGGAAGGTCCTTGAAAAGGCGAGTTGGGATGGAACTAAACATTCTGTATACATATCATCTGGAGTCACCGCAGATTATGATTCTGTAAGTTTGTGGTAGAGCCTGAAATTCTGCATTTTTAATAAATCCTTGGTGATGCGTATGTTTCTAGTCCCTGTCAAACTGGTTGAGTATAAGACCTTAGTACTTTGAGCACGAAAACAGTAGAGGTAGTATACTACGTAATAAAATTGGTCAACATGGTCGGGGTTTGTGTGTTTTCAGATTGTTTCTGTTTTCTGTAGAACAGGAAGCAAGTCATTATCCTAGAGTGAGGACAAAGGAGATGGTATAAAATCATCTAGGAAGGTAGAATCATTAGTCTGGTAGGATTATTGGGTTGTACTCAGGACCCATTGTGGTTACTGGTAATGAATTTAAACTGAGGTGTATTGAATATGAGTGTATATATGTTCATTTACTTTGGGCTACACATGTTGGTGCGTGTGATGAGTAGGTGTATAGATGGGGTTTAGAATGACATTTTTTGGAGGGGTGGGGGGCGTTTCATGGGTGTATGCGAGGTAGCTACAAATAATGAACTGTGGAATCTAAATTGGGAAAGGAAGAAAATAAGAATACTAGGTTAAACAGAAAATATGGGCTTTTTTTGTTTTGTTTTTAATGGCAGGTCTTCTTCCAATCTTTAATTTGCTAGGGAGCTCTATAAATCTTCAAGAGAGGAAAACAGTGTTCATGTCCTCATTTTTTTTTTTTTGTAAAGATTTATTTATTTTAGAAAGAGTGCTGGGGAGGGCAGGGAGAGAGGGGGCAGAGGGAGCTGGAGAGAGAAACCTAAGCAGACTCTGTGCTGAGTGTGGAGCCAACATGGGGCTCAGACTCCCTACCCTGAGATCATGACCTGAGCCGAAACCAAGAATCGGAGGCTTAACCCACTGTGACACCCAGCCACCCCCTAAATATTTTTTTAAATCAAGGAACTCTTTCTGTCTCAGCATCTCTCTGAGCTTGAAATCTACTAAATAAACTAAGGAAAAGATGTCTTACACTTTCGGCTAAAGCAAGTATTAACATCGGTGATTATTATTTCATTTAAGTTGGAGGGCATATGAGAAAGGAGGGAGGTCTTAAATGATTTCTTAAAAATTGCTCCGTCAGCTCTAAAAACTATTTTTATATGTATTCCTTTATTTTTGTTAAAATAGACTGTTAACATCCGTATAAGTCATGCAGATTTATAATCATAGCCATATAACAAAATAGTTACTATATGGACAAATACAAGAAAGATTTTCAACCATTGGTGTTTTTTTTTTTGTCTCTTTTTCTCTCGGATATTACAGATGACCATGGATGAAAAATATGTAAACAGCATATGGGACCTTCTGAAAAATGCAATTCAAGAAATCCAGCGTAAGAATAACAGTGGTCTTAGTTTTGAGGAGCTCTATAGAAATGCTTATACAATGGTTTTGCATAAACATGGAGAAAAGCTCTACACTGGACTAAGAGAAGTTGTTACCGAACATCTCATAAATAAGGTATCCAACTTTAAAGGACTATTGCTAATTATATGGAATCTAGGAAATCCTTTATATACTATGTTGTACTTTGACTAGAAGTATTAGTTTTAAAGGCTTCAAGAAGCCTATAGAAATAGTAATCAATTAATGGCTGTATTATAAAACCTACTTAAAACTTAAATCAGCTAAATCAGAATTTTTTGTAATTGAGGGAAAATGAAGTTTGTGATTTATGATAAATAATTATCTGTAATCATAATTAAGGAAACAAACTTTGACTAATTTACAAATAGTTGTTTATTAATATATGAATTAGAGATCATTTTTTCCTTAAAATGCTTGACCAGTCAGTCCATTTTATCTTTCTTTACTTTCTATGTATATACGAAAATAAAGTAAAACTACATTGTTTAAAAAATACCATCTTAAGACTTTTCGCCAGTTGAAATTGACTTACTTTAACTGAGTTCTATAGTAAATGTGAATTAAAAACAAGATTACTCTTGGGCTATTAAAATTATAAAATGTTTCTTAGGTTCTAAAGAGATGTTTTTGCTATTTTAAAATAAATGCTTAGCGCAAACTCTTCTCTTGCAAGTATGTCTTGCTTTAAGATTGTCAGATAAAATGTAAAATACCACAGATAGATAAAAACTTCTCAGAGTTTTTGTGTGGTATTAGGGTGCTTGCTTTTTAAAATTTTATTTTGAAAAAAAATGGAAAAGTTGTACCAGAATAGTACAATGATCTTTCATATTATAGATATACCACTTGTTAACATTTTGTCACATTTTTCCTAATGTTTCTATTGATACTTGTAATTATTACTATTATTGGTATTACAATTATTGCTGAAGAATTAGAGAATAAGTTTTAAATTCATTTTCCCTGAAACACTTAGGGATGTTTCCAAGAACAAGGAAATTCTGTGACCTAACCAAAGAATAATGTTCAAAATCAGGCAGTTTAACATTAGTATAATACCGTTATCTAATACAGTCCACATTCAAATTCATCAGTTGTCCTGTGTAGCAGTGATGTCCTTTATAGCAGTTTGTTTTCTGATCCAGGATCCAATCCAGGATCACACACTCAGCTCCTCAGCTTTTGGTCTTTCAGCACATTGACATTTTTGAAGAGTATAGGTCAGTTGTTTTGTAGATTGTCCCTCGGTTTTTGGTTTGTCTGATTGTTTCCTCATGACTAGTTTCAGGTTATGCATTTTTGGCAGGAATAATACATAAGTGATGTTGTGTCCTCAGTGCATCACATCAGGAGGCACATGATGTCAGTTTATCCCATTATTGGTGATGTTAACTTTGATCACTTGGTGTCCGCCAGATTTCTCCACTGTGAAGGTACCTTTTTTCCCTTTGTAATTCATAAGTAATTTGTTCAGATATATTTTGAGACTGTATAAATATCCTGTTCCCCAAGGATGTTTCATGTGATATTCTAGCATCCATTGATGATTCTTGCATGAATCATTATTATTAAGGTGGTTACAAAGTAGTTACTTTCTATTTCTACTATTCCTTCCGTAATTTCTTTCTCTTACATGGGATTACATAAGCAGGTAGCTAGTATCTCATGAAGCAAGGTGATTGTGTTGTCCTGCAATCAACAGTTTCTTTAGTACCTACTCTGCACAGCGTTATAGGAAAATGCAGTGGATGCAGAGATAAGATATCCCTTGTTTATACTGTGATGTGAAAGATGTTGTAGACATTTAGATAACAGTGTGAGGCATTATATAATTAAGTGGCAAATGAATCGAATAGGCAATAGATGGATTGTAATGAGGGAGAGATTACCCTGGGCTGTAAGATTTCATGGGAAAGTATCAAATTGAACTGAGCCATGAAAAATTTGGGATATAAGTGAACAATGTGGAAGGCATTCCAGGATGGCAGATGTCATGTGATTATACAGAAATATGTTGGGTACATTTAGGTGGTAAATAGAGTGTGATTGAGGTATATAGTAATTTATGGGGATTAGTGGATTCTAATATAAAGATGGCTTGGGAACAGATTGGGGAAAAACTTGAATGCCAAGCTAAGGAATTTGGACTTAACAGAGGAGGTTTTTAAGTGGATGATAATGTGATAGAATATTTTAAGAAGATTAAGATGAAAATGATACAAATGTAGAATTGGGGAGATGTTTGCTAGCAGCTGGAGAGGACCTGGAAACATTTGAGTAAAGTGATAGTCTATAAATGAATGGCTAGAGGAGATAACAAATTTTGTTTTAGGTAATATTGGAGATTTTTATAGTTGGAAGGTACCTTAGAAATCATTTTGTAGTGGGGGAAATTGAGTGTGAGATCATCATAAAATGCTCAGCTAGAAATATCCTGTGTTTAGAGATATACAGATTTAGAGCCTGAGCAGGAACTCAAACTGAAGATCAGGATTGGATGTGTGGTAGCATGTACTCTGAGGAAGAAGTATTGGAGTTCAGAGAACAAAAATCCTAGAGCCAAAGGATGAATCTTCAAAAGCAAACTATGGTATGTAGGTGGAAAATGAAGAAGACTAATTTAAGAAACATGGCATCAAAAGAAAGAGGAAATGTGGAGTGGGAGAGTTTTGCTTAAAGCTATTGAAGGGGTGAAGATTATAGCAGCTGTTTTCTTGGATATGGAGAGAGTATGGAATTGAGAACAGTAAAGTAAAAGTAGAATAGAAGCATTTGCCAGAGGTTCCATAGTGAATACGGTAGAGGTCACAACTAACTCTTACTTAGCATTTCTATGTGCTAGGTTCAGTTTCAGTGCTTTTACATGTGTTAATGGTCTCAACCAAGTGAGCTGGAGAGCATTATTCTGTTTTACAAGTGGAGAAACCAAGGCACAAAGAATTAGTGATTTGTCCAGATTGACATAGCTAGTAAGTGGCCTAACTGGAATAGTATTCGGGCAGCGTGGTTTCAGGCTGAGTCCCTGACTCCTCTTTAGATCTGCTCCTGAGGCATAATGAATGGATCAAGATGAAAAAAACATGCTGAAATTGAGGATGCAGGAGGGACTTCACGTCAGTTGGATCAGTGTTTGTAAAGTTGTAGTCTTTTAAATTCTAGTTCTTGGTTTACTTATAATTAAAATGAAGGAGCTAGCAGTAATATCTCCTGAGATTCTTTAGTTCTAAAACTATTACAAATCTAATAATTAAGCCATGCATCTTCTGAAAATGAGATGAAGAGATTTGGAGTAGCCTTTTTTGGGAATATACTAAGGAATTGGCAAGTGAGGAAAAAAGATAGCTCGGTAGGAATTGGCCTGAATGTGTGATTCGCCTTTTTTGTTTGTTTTGAAGCATTGCTTTGCACCTTGGGCACAGTTGCAGAAAAAACATCTGTACTTACACGCTGTGTTGAAAATTGGCTCATTCAAAAAGTAAGGAGAGGAGGGGAGACCAGAGTGGGAAGTCCGTGTTTAAGTGATTTTTGGACTCAGAAACATGGTTAGGTAGAAATTGACGTCATGTGAACAATAATTGTATGGTAACTGTAAGAGCTTCAGTATATTTGTGATTTGCTAAGGTGGTCCCATATCTAAGGTTAACTATAGGCAGTTCCTATAGTATGTTCCAAAGAACATGAATTCAAGTTAATGGTGCTGAAGAAATTATATACACTAAATTCTTTTTATTTTTCTTCTATAGGCATTAGTGATACATGAGCAGCATCTGAAAATGTTAATTTTTTTTTTCCACGAATGCTCATTTGACCAATTTTAACTAGGAAATATACCAGTATCAGTATATCTAATGATTGGTTTCTTTATTTCAGTTGAATTAAGTCTTTTAACCTCAGGTAGTGTCTATGCTTTCATTTTTGTGTCTTTCATTTATCTTCATTCTTACGAAAACTTTTAATAATTGTACAAATATAGTACTACCCCCCCAAAAAAAAATACAATACTACTCTATGAAGGGGACACAGCCCAAAGAAATTTGTTAACTGACAGGCAGAGCCATCATACAGTAGCCTAAATGTGCTCTGATGTAGGAAATCCCCCGTTTTTTCCTACCAGATGTACAGAAGTGTGGTTTGCATGAAAATTGATATTGGTATTGACTTGTTTGTATATTGTACTTTCTGATTAGAAGGTGAGAGAATGGGTTAGGGTTCTGGGGTATGAAAGTAGCCATCTTCAGTTCACAAAACATTTTCCTTTTTGTGGTTCTGAAAGCCTTACTGTGTGGTCTAGTCATCAGGCTTGTTTGTTGTTCACTGTGCTTTTAGCACTTTGCTGAACTATGTAAGCAATGAAACTTCTTTTAAATCAGTTATTTTCTACTAAAGTGTAGATTTTAGTGCTATGGTATATAGGTAGCCAGAACCTATTTTTTTCATATTGAGGATTCAAATGAAATACAATTTTTATGCAGAATCAGTTGATAGTACCCTGGTTGTAGTATGAGAATAGTAAACATCTGAGCAACACCTTTGGTAAAACAGAGTGGCACAGACTATCAGGGCAGATGAATGGAGGAACTTCTCTGAGATGAAAGTAATTGATTGTTGGCTTTATTTATTTATTTTTAAAGATTTTATTTATTTTATTCATGAAAGACACAGAGAGAGGCAGAGACACAGGCAGAGGGAGAAGCAGGCTCCATGTCCTGATGTAGGACTTGATCCCAGGACTCTGAGATCATGCCATGGGCCCGAGGCAGGCACTAAACTGCTGAGCCACCCAGGGATCCCCGGATTGTTGGCTTTAGAAGTGAGTTCACAAAATTGAAGAAGACCTAGAAAAGCCAAATGTTTTTCTCTTACTTGATGTAGTATATTCTTCCTACCTCTAGAAGAATGTTCCCTTTGAGGAAACAGACCCAAAGGAACTCAGTGAATTTCTCTAGACCACACAGCAAAACTTAGATAGTGATATGGGTAGCATTTGTGCCTTGCTATAGGAAAAAAAAAATCTCATTTTAGTAAATATGAAAACATTTCAGAATTCACAGGGATTACCTTTTCTTTAACATTTGTTCCTAAATAAAATAACT